TATGTCAACAAATATGACTTCCCCAACTTTATTAGTAGGACAGGCTCTTGTACATGTAAGCTGTCAATTTTTAAGGTACAATTAATGTAGCTTTTTTTTAAACAAAACTGCAGCTGTACATGGACATAATATAAATATGAGAATGATAATCATGATGCATGTGATGACTCATTTAGCAAAATGAGCTGCTAAGGGGTTGTTTGGTTGTATGTTTTTATCATGTAAAAAGATGGAAAGTGTAAAAAATGGGTTCCAATGTCAACTTTCATCCCTTTTATATTGTTTGTTTAAATTCTCTTTTACATGAAAAGCTTACACCTTTTGATGAGGTGTCACCAAAAGCATTGCTTTTGTTAGAAAGCTGACACAATGTCATAAATGTATCCAAAATAATAATAAAAAAGCCAAAACCTTGTAGAAAGTGGTGAGGTGGATAACCATTTTCCATTTTGTGTCATAAATACTCTAGTTTACATTATACTATCCAAACAATGTAATACTATTATTTTAGGATTCACAAAGATTCATAACAATGTAAATACTCGAATGGAAGGTGATGAGGTGAATAACCACTTTCTATTTTGTATCATAAATACTCTAGTTTCCTAAAGGCATCCAAACAGCCCCTAAGAGATAGAGAAATAAGTCTCACAACTTTTGATGTAACTATCAATATGGGCCTCATCATATCGCTGGGTACGTAGCTCATTTAGTAAAATGAGTCGCCGCCTTATATCCATTATTTCCTATAAATATTGACAATACATATGAATAACCCTGCTCGAGTGTATTCATTTTATCCTTTATCGATTGAAGAAGACAATGGGGGGGGGGGGGGGGGGCGGGCGGGGGGTGGGGTGCGGGGTGGGCCGTGGGGGGCTTGGCGTATTAGTGGGGCAACACTTCAAAGGATCCGCCTTGTATCATTCTGATACACCAACTATATATACATGCACTAAACAAATAATGCTACGTAATTTCCCTACTCTGTACGCTTGTTTATACAATTGCTTGTGTATTTGTGTATCTCATGTAACATATATACGTTCTTATTCATTACTATTATCCTAGATTCCTAGGTTAACCACGAGATTTGGGCCTCTCCCGTTTGAGCGCAATCAATATTGACTGAAGAAAACGAATATTGTAATAGTGCGGTCGTTCTACATAGTTTGAGCCTCAGTAATTAGTAAGAAGATTGAGAAGAAAAAGACAGAAAGGACGAGGCGGCAGGGGACTGTGTCAGCGGAGAAAATTTATTTCAGTTTTTATTAAAGATCAAAGCATAACAAAAATGAAAAACAAAGAAGATGAAAAGAGACGTAGAAAGGTGGCGATGGATTTTTAGTACAGAAGTAAAAAGAGAATGAAACAGCCTGCAAGTTTCAACCAGAGAACAAGGCCAAAAACGCACAAAGTAATATAATAATGATGATAAGAATAATACCAATTTTTTGAGTATCCATAAACTTCAACTTTTTGACTAATACCCTAATTTCTACAGTATTGTGACTCACCTACAACTATTTATGTGAATAATGTTGGAGTTAGTTCAATTTCTAATTCAATTATTGCTGTAATTTTTTGCATGCAGATACAATTTTGCATGGTCTTTTCGGCCATGATGCAGTCATTCTTTGCCTCACAAACTTATTGGTGTAGACGAACCGCAAAACTTTTCAACACCACGTCAGGGTCTTGTTCTTAATGATAAAAAGATAAAAGATAATCACACAAAGAATGGACACAATGATTTACGAGGAAAACCCAAATGGGGAAAACTACGGGTTGAGCTTGGAGCTCGGAGGATATATAGTTCACTATAATGGAATCAATGTTGTGCGCAGCGGAAATTTCGGCAGAGTTTCTGGTGCACAATAATAGAGAAAGATCGATAAGAATTCACGTCTCACCAAGGAGACAAGAATCTGAAGCGGATATCTCAACCAAGTGAGATATCGGCTCTTCCTCTCATCAGTTCTAGGACTGACCTGTCGAGGAATCCTACAAGCTATTACAATGGCCACAAACTCAAACAACCAATTTTTACGTGGTTCGGCAAACTGCCTACGTCCACGGGGCAAGGAGGGGGAGATCTACTATTAGAGGGAGAGATACAACTAGGGTTTACAATCTCACAGACAAAACCCTCTCACAAACTCTCAGATCCCTCACACAAATATTCTCTCAAAGGGGGAGACACAAAACCCAAAAACAACTACAAAAGGACTTTGTGCAGCCGCAAAACCAAGAATCACAATCTAAACATCAACTTTTATCTCTTCACACGTTTTGTGGCCCCCACACTTTATTCTTCATGCGGATTCCCTCAATTGCTTCTGTGCATTCACGTGGGTCTGGCCCAAAACGCATCCATTCACAATTCTCCACCTCGGTGAAGTTTTCCCAAGACTGAGCCGACACCGACCAAACCAAATGTCTCACTTGTTGTGTCCAGTACACCGTGAAATAATTCACGACAACAGACTCAATACATAACAAGTCGAGAACCCAAATGAGAATGCAAACACTCTCCAAATGTTAGTATCAACTCACCAAATTGATCTCACCCCCATCAAAATCCAAACCGGTTGCATCTGAAAGACTGCCTACGTATCCTCTTGCCCAAGGAATCAAGTCGAACGTAGTTCACCAAAATGGCCTCCAAAGGCCTCAATCCAATAGAAGAGTTCGCAACTCTTCTACAATATCATCTACTCTGCGGCTGATAACACCTCCAATGGCCTCAAACACCTCCACCTGAGGTGAACCAATGGTCATATTCAAACTGCATCTATCAGCTGCACTCGAGTCAAAACCCAACTCATCATCTGCATCCGAATCCAAATAACTTCCATGCTGTGTCACCTCATCTGGAATCCCAACCAATGCAGAATGACCTGGAGTATGTGGGAAAATCCCCACCCAATGTGGAGTAGCATCAGTCTCCACCCGCTGCGATACCTCTAAGGTCTGTCCAAAACTCTCCACCTGCTGAGAGTCAATTAGCTCCCTCATCGAAGCCTCAACCAAAGTGACACTATCAGACCTATCTTCTAATGAAGTTTTAACTCCAATCACAGCAGTTGAGAACTCTTTAATAGGATGACCCAAATATATCGAAGCCTCTGTCCAGAAACTCTTCTGCAAACCATTGCTCGACCACAAACACCGATCCTCCTCCAGTAAGGCACGGTTCTCCAAATTTATCACCCTATTTAGTTGCCCCAAGATTTCCTTTCCAACGAAGTGTCTCGAAATGCCGTGAGCTCGGCTCCAATACAGAAACAGGTCCATCTTGTACCTCCCACCAGAATGGAGTACCTTCACCTTTCTGTCTATTACACACTTCTTCAATCTGTTGGATACTACTAGGACTTTCTCCAAAGGGGATTTGGTTGCAACCCAAACACGCCTAGAACAGTCACCAACAAAGGAAACCAAACGCCTATTACCTCCCAATGATGCCCCCTTGGAAGGCCCCCAAACATCCACGTGAACTCCTCTAGAACGACCCTTAGCACGGTGAATAGAGGTGCCACACTTCACCTCGGTCTTCTTGCTCACATCAACATGTTCACTGGACTTCAAACTGCAGGTCTTTGCACCCTCTTTCAATCTATGCGAGGAATCAATACTGGAATAGCCAAGCCCCAAATGCCGCAGTCTAGTCGAATCAACAGAAGTCGCCAGCTCTCCACCTGTCACTATACCTCCAGTCAAGTAATACAGGTTATTCCTCCTGACGCCCTTCATCAAAATACGAGAGTCTCTCGCAATCTCGAGAACCATGTCCTCAACACGAACCTTCAGACCCTCTCCAACCAAAGCTCCAATCGAGATCAAGTTCTTCCTCAAAGAAGGAACATATCTCACATCGTTTAACTCTCTAACAGTCCCGTCAAACATCTTTATGCGAATTCTTCCTATCCCAAGGATCTGGCATGCACGGTTATCAGCCATGTACACCACACCACTATCCACCAGCTTCTCAAAACTGGAGAACCATTCCCTTCTAGGGCACACATGATAGGTCGCACCACTATCCAACATCCATTCAGATTCCTCCGAATAGCTATCTGTAGGACTGATAGAAAGCGAATAAATAGAAGAGTCAGAATTATTACCATCCGATACGATATTTGCTTCTGATGATGGCTGCTTCCCTTTCCCCTTCTGCTTATTCTTCATCCATTCGTCGAGCTTTGGGCAGTCTTTCTTCCAATGACCAGTCTCCTTGCACCAAGCACACTGATCTTTTCCTACTCTAGACTGTGACTTCCAATTCTTCTGGTTTGGATTCTTCCCTCTTGCGACCAACGCCTCTGCTACCGGCTCAACTGAAGCCTCCTTATCCTTCTT